GTCTTATTGGGCCGGACCAGGCACTGTACCCTGATCCAGCCCAGTTCTGATCCACTGACAACCCTCGTATCAGTGTATCTCCTCAAATTGTAGGCGTGGTAAATATTAGGATTAAATATCAAACATGCGGTATTTAAAAAAAAATGCGGTTGGTTAAGCGAAGATTACCTTTATTTTGCTTTATATCTCTGGTAATTACTGATTTTTTTTTTTTGAAGCCAAGTAATTACTGAATGGTTTGAACACAATCTATATATTGATGATTTTGGAAACTTAATAAGGTATTAGAGCTGATGCCCGGCCCAGGCTGTAGTCCTTATATAACACTGTAATGATAGATAAAAGTCATAGGCCCAAATCGGGCCCAGTTAGCATAAGATGTTATTAGTATAATCATCCACTACAATGCCGATTTCCTTTTGGTTCAGTCCGGATTTCCTTTTAATTCAATTCTACGATCCTCTCTACTAACCCAATAAAACAATGCCACCTGTCTCTAAACATGCTTTAGAATCCTAACTTATGCAAATGGTTAACGATTGTTATTGTTATTCCGTCAGATATCTTTTCTTACAAAATTCTTTTTTTTTCTTGTGCACGATTTGTTTGAAATTCTTCCTCTCACCCTAGTCCTCCATGGCAATCCGCTTACCAGTAATAAGATTATGCTTAGGGAGGCAGCAAAGCCTGTCGTGTTGCAACGAAATAGTCGACGGAATTTTGCTCCATTCTTGTAGGCTAGTATGGCCATGCCTACTTGATGCGAGCTTGGATTGGTGGTGAGAGGATCGCCTGGAACGTCATCTTGCCACACGGTGATCATGGGTTGGGCCTGTGATTCATCTACCGAGGAAATTGGTCATGCTCACTGACCATGGGCTGGCTATACAAATCAGTCCCTTCTATTCCTAATTGGTCTTACAGGAATGACTATACAAAAGTCAAAAACTGTGATAATTGGAAGCAATGAATAAGATCTTACCTCAACCTGCTTGTCGGCTACAGAAAAATGCAGAGACAGTAGTATTGCCATCAGCATCCCCGACGTTTACAAACTTATCGGGGTTACTCATTAAATCCAGCGGCTGCTCCAACACATTCAAGCTTCCATGCTTGACACAGAGGTACAGAATGGTCTCACCACGACCCACAAGTTGAAGAACCGTTCCACGTTTCTCCATAACCAGCTCTTTAATGGCATCCACTTGGCCTTCAATTGCTGCTAGATGGAGAGGAATCATTCCATCTGTATCGCGAGCAAGGCAGAGGCCAAGGCCAGAATCTTGATTCAAGGTACCCTCTTGCTGCTGCCAAGTGAAGCGGAGTGTGTCCTCGTGGGTCTTTGAGGCAAGCAAGTTCAGGCTTGCGGCTCAAGAGCAGTTTAACAAAATCAACGTGACCGAGGGTAGCTGCTATGTGCAAAGGAGGCGCTCTGATGCAACCCATAACCACTCTATCAAGAATTGGATTGTCTTTTTCAAGCAAATCGGACAAGGACTCCGCATTCCCTTGCAATGGCAATGCTGCTTCACGAAGCTGTCTCTCCATTTTCATGCTTTCAGGAAACCCTTCCTCCATTCTCTTGTTCTTGCTCTTGCTCTCGAGAAGCTGCGTGGATCTCCATTAATATTCCATTGCTCTCTATTGTTCTTGCTCTTTCCTCTTTATTTGGGATGACCGGCAATGAACTAGTTTGCCTTGTTTCAGTTGCAGAAAGGAAAGCAGAAGCAGTAGTGTGTGTCTATACTCGGTTGAGTTGAGGATGAAAGCGGAAGTACAAGCAAGAAAAATAAGGGAATGTCAACCTTTACTAACCTGTTCAAAACAAGTTGTTAACAAGATTGATGCAGATTCAATATGAATTGGAGCTGAGATTTCCATATATCTTCATGAATAAGAGATTGACTTATATTTGAAGGGTTTTGAGAGGTTCAAAGGACACCTGAGATGGGAACGTCCTAATCAGCATATTGTCCGGCGAATATAGAAAATTCCGGAAACACCAGAAAGGAGAGGGTGAGAGGAATTTCAAAGAAATCATGTACAAGAAAAAAAAATTTAGGAAAACATATCTAACGGAAGGACAATAACAGTCGTTAACTAGTTGCACAAGTTAGGATTCTAATGCATGTTTAGAGACAGGTGGCATTGTTTTATTGGGTTAGTAGAGAGGATTGTAGAATTGAGTTAGTAGTAGGAAATCCGGACTGCTTTTGGTTGAGTTTGAGAATTGATGAATTGAAATCAGTCGATGTCTAGGTAGTCTGCACCTGTTGTCTAGTTGACGTGCTCCGAATTGAAGCCATGGCCAGCTCAAGTCAGATCAGAAATAGTTGCAAATCAATCCTTGTGTAAACATTCTTTTCTTTTTGGGTGCTAGCTGATAACCAATTATGATTGCTCTCTTAACTATTCTTTCAGTTTTGACTGGCGACTGGTGAGGTAGGTTATGGTATAAAAAGTCCATTTTAGGATTGTTTTCAATTTTCATTCAACAACATGCTCTAACACTGGCTTTTTTTTTTTTTTTTGTCATCTTCTATCTTCTATCTTTATTCCATAGAGATTAGCCTGTGAAATGATTTCTAGACCAATTAAAGTCCCATTTCAGCCTATAGTGACCTGTTAGACTTGAATTTGATGGCTTGGATGGTGACGGTGCATGAAAGGAGACTGACTTACTACAGAGGCAAAGCAGGCTGAACTTTGCTGGTTGGGAGGAATGCTGTAGGCCTGCTTTGTAGCAAGGGATGCGTATAGGAGAAGCAAAGTCCAAATGCAGCATCTGTGCAAGCAAACTGGAGCGGTGATCAAAACTCAAACTAAGCAGCCACCTATATATGTATCTACGTACATATATATAGCAGAGTGCGTTCACATTTGCAGGATAACATGCATGCATTTGGTTGTGTATCAATGCAAGGTTGCCAAGGCATTATGTACAATTAATTACATACTAGTCACAATTGTAATCTGCAAGAGTGCAAACAACCTCAAATGAATATATCTGTTGCTGCTATCGTGGTTGCATGCGACCTCCAATGAATAGCTAGTGAATAGATGCACCATCATTTTGAAAATAATAAAATAAAAAAAAAAAATCAATTGATGTAATGCCTTAGGTTGTGTTTCGTTTGATATAAAAATAAGGCTTTTGCTTTTATTTTGTTTTTGATGTGGTGGTATAAAAATATATATACCACCAACATTAAACGTTTTTTTTTTTTTTATTCAACTTGAAAGAATTTATACGAATCAGACAACTGTAATGTGCAGCAGAGCTGGACCACATTCACACCTTTCTATTCTTCCATACATTTTATTAGTAACTTGGTGGTATATATATTTTTGTCACCCAAACTCCCCAAGAACATGACATAGCAACACAGAAAATTATTAAATTCGTCCATTGACAAGACAATCAAAACAAAAACACAAGTAAAGGCCAACGCGCCAAGGCTAATCAGTTGACCTTCCTGCAGTTGGTCCGGATCTGGCCGCTGGTTCCGGTGAGGGGGCTAAGGTTTCCCATTTTCACCAGAGAAGAAAGTAGCGGAGTTGGTGCTTTAGGTTCTAACTTGAGCACCGGTGGAGCCACCATTGAAGAGCTGTTGGTCTGAGTGAAGAAGTCCCTTGTTGTTGATCAAATTCGTGAAATAAGCATTGTCAAAAACGGTGGCAGTGGTGGTGTCCAGCGCTGCTAAATTGTTATCTCCACCTGCACTCGGACAGTTGGACTTCAAAGATGTGGCAAAGGCGGAGTCTATGTTGCTGTCGTTGTATATCCGGGATCTAAATTTATGGTGGACAGTGCACTTGGGCACGAACTGGAATAGAAATTTGATGACAACTGTGCAGAGGCCACCCCAATCAGAACCACCAACATTATGGAGAAAGAGAAGCAGGAAGCAGCCATGATGAGTCAATGGACGGACTGGTGAGAAGGAAAAGGAATTATAGAATGCGTAGATCTTTGGGGAGTGGATGTGGGGAGATAGAGCTATCTGCATGCATGGGCTCCATATTTATAAGCTGTTTGCATGAGCAATCTTGGCATTTCAACAATCAATCGCTCGAGGTCAATGAAGACTGGAGGGAGAAAGATTAATTCTGTCTTCTTGTTCAATGACGGAGCTTTCACACTAATTGACTAGTTAATTAATCAAGGCCACGCTCACAACGCGTTGTTGGACATACACCTTCACTTCCTCGATCGATCACTATACCCCCACCCCAAACTGTTTTGGATTAATTTTCTAATCAGTGGCATTTATTATATTTAATGGCGTTTATTAAAAATGCCACTATATCCCATATCAAAAACGCCAATTATTAAAATGCCGTTAAAGGTATATTTAAATTGCCGCTAAATATATGGTTTTTAAGTGGCATTTATTAAATCGCCGTTTAAATCACATTTAAAAGCCATTAAATTTCAGTATTTTTTAACCACTGATTTCACTTCTACATCAATGGTGTAGATTTAACTTCATTGGAGAAAATATATGCAACAAAAATTGGCGCGTGGATACCAATTTCTTCCCGCGCGCGAGCCCATTCGTCTTCTCTCTGGCAACATGTCTCCTGCTATACTACCAAAGCCGTATTCATCAGTTAAAGCGGACGTAAACGTAAAAGGGGTAAGAAGGCTGTGAGGGGATGAGGTAAGCTCTGATGTAGTGTGTTCGGACTGAGAGCTGGGAAGAAGTTTGTGTTTTGTTGTGCATTTTTGTGGTATTTTCTGCGTGCTTTTTGGATCAATGTTCAACTGAGGGATTTAAGTTTTGCATTCTTTTGGTCTTTTTGTGCTGTTTTCTGCTATACTACGAAAACCTCATTCATTAGAAGCCACCACAGCAGAGAACCCTAATTTTTTTTCGCTCAAAACTAGCGTGTTCTTCTCTCCGGCAACGCACATCTCTTGCAAGATACATTGAGTTCGGCTGTGCATGTCATCATATCTTCAGCCATTGGTCTTCTGATGCTTGAAGCTGGTTAGTTCAATTTCGAACCTATGCTTGTTCTCTATTTTTGTTTCATTTTAGGTTCTATTCGCTTATTTTGATTTTTGCGTGCTTTTTTTGTAAAACATTTGGGGAGCGTGTTGGAAACATGAATTTTAAAAGATAGATGGAAACCCCTATCTGAAGATGCTGCTCTCTATCTTTCTAGTCCAATCCTAGAAAAAAACCACCAATCGAAAGGCCTAGCAGAGGAGGACTTCTCTTCCCATCGTCTTTGAGTCGTACCTTGTCGTAGATACCCCCCTGTCATCATTAATCTTCAGTTCAAAGGCCAAACTGAAACGCCATCGCCATTGTCTGAAAGAAATCATCGGAGTTGATATCAGTTCAACATTCTAAGGTTCTAAGAGGTAAACCCTTAACCACATCCTTTCTATTTTGATTGAAGTTATGTTTATTGCTTGAATAGGTAGTTTGTTCATTGTGTTCTTTTTAGTACAAATTTTTTTAAACGAAGAATTTTCAATGAATACCATGGGGGATCCCTGACAATTTTCAAAAGGATGCAGCACCAATGGAAATCTTTTCCCTAAGGAAGAATCTTTAATGCCTAGTTTGAAAACTCGAAATTAAGTAATGCCTAGTTTGCAACTCAAGTTTTGAAAGCAATAGAACAAAAATAACTTTAACTAAGTCCCCAATCGTATGCTTATTGGCTTCTAGATTTAAGCACTCTGAATATAAAATCCATGTGTGATCTACATACCAGATGTTCTCGACAAAGCTCCACTGCTAAAAAGGAGGGCAATTCAAACTTGAAATAGCAGAACGATCACTATTTCCAGCATTTGCCACCATAAGTGGAGGAGCATCAACTCCATCCACATAGCCCCCACCACCGAATACTCCTACTGTTGTTTGCATTGTCCTGCAATTGAAATAATAGTAACCTATAGTAGGTTAGTTTAAAAACAACAGATACTTGAAATAGTACTTTAGTTGCCAAAAACACAACAACAACACTACAATAAATGAACAGTATACATCCATCGACTCCCAAGTAACAGATTTCAACGGGAATCCTCACAATTGAAAGATAAGATGACAAGGTACAGACAAGGATAAAATACAAGTATTCAATCCCATATTATTAGAGTTTACGACAATTGACAAGCTAAAATTTATTGAAACTTCTAATATTCATAAAATAATTACTACCAAGTACTGACTATGCTGTAAGATTCATTGCATTATGCCACTATATATCTAGTTCACAAAACTAATACAGAAATTGCTGGTACCTGATCATACATAGACACAAGAAAACTTCACGACCATATCAAGAATCTAGAATAAGAATAAGTGTCACATCATGTGGATATAGGTATCTAAGCATGTTAGCTAAATGAATATAAATTGAAACAGGCTTATGCAATTAAGTTCAGGATCAAACTATCTGAATTGGCCACATGTTTGCTCACCTAGTCCCCCCTTTAGTCTCTTTCACTCCACTTTGAATGGGAGCTGCTCTCTGGTGAGAGTTGAGATTAGTAATCTTTTTCAATTAAAAAACCCAAAATAGAAATGGCTTAATTTTTGGATATATTTCAGGGCTACATATGAAACCTATATACCCAATGAGTAGCAGATGGAGGAAGAAGCATGTGGCATGTGGTGTGTCTCTTTAGTCCATAATTAGGAAAGATTTCTGAATTGTTGATATTAAGGCTTATTTTATTTGCAGTGCAATTTCATTTGCACTGGTATAAAAGTATGGGAATGCAAATGAGTTTGAATGCAAATTCTGATTTATCTTTTTTCTGCTTGGTTGCATTATAAATGAAATAAAATTAAAATGAAACCTGAAGTGAAGTAAAACCTAAACAAAATTTTTACTGTGCAAGTGCCAATGAAATTGCATTGCAAAAGACAGGGCCTTTAAGGATCAGTTTGGAAGGACTACAAATACAAATATGTAGAGTGCAGAACCTTGTATTTTGTATGTATTTGCACTATACATATCTGTATTTGTACTCCTTCCAGTTTGGGAAGAGTGCAAATATAAATATGTTCAGTGCAAAACCCTTTATATGGAATTTCGTTTCTTTTTGACCCCATAGGTATTTCTAAACCTTGCACTTGGACTATACATATTTGTATTTGGGATGCAAATGAAGTGATACTCCATTGAAAAAATCCCTTAGATGCTTGCAGACTCAACTAGAAAACTTAGCTTGAGGCAGTGCTACGAAGAGGGTGCCCTCACCATGAGAGCTAGGAGGTTCCCCCACCCCAACCACTTCTATGTATCCCATGTATCAGACTGGGCCCACAAGTTTTAAAGCAAGTCCAGATGACTTGTCAACTACTATCTTAGACTTATAGGCCTAAAAGTAGACCTATTAAGAAAGAAACCCTATCTTAAATTCATAATTAGCAAATTAAGGGGCTAAGAATCAAGATGCTTCTTGGCATCAGGGAAGTCTAAGGTGGAATCTATCAACTAGTGGGCCTATGAATTATGGGCCCCATACTGATCTGCAATTTCTCCAGCCCCAGAGACCCATATGAAGACATTTACTCGAGTAAGGTTTAGTTTTTTGAGACCACCTCGATTCATTGAGGCAACAGAACCCACCATGATTGATAAATTAGATTGTCCATGGGATAGATTAACTTCTTTTTTTCTGTCTGTTTTTAATCTGCAGTGGTCCCTAAATGGACCAGCTTCAAAAGAGACTTATCTCTCATGGGGCTAAGTACTGAGTAGAGAGCTCTCACCTACAGTCAACAGGTTGGAATTATTTTTGGCCTAATGATATTGCCAGGCGACATTTTACCATTGCCAATTGACAATTCTACAATGTACTTTGTACTTTGTGAAACATTATTAGAAATTTGAACTGGAATCTTCAACTAGTTTAGTTTTGTGGGGTCAAGAATTCTGCCACTCATCTTGACTTATTGCTTCTTTCTTCTGGCCCAAGTAGGAAGTGTCCTTCTATAATGAATAAGTCTATTTCTTGATGCCTCCACCAACTACATTTTGAATAGTAAATTGACCTTTGCTGCTGCAAACAAATTTAGGCTGCTGCAAACTCATTTTGAATAGTAAATTGAACTTTCTTGTTTTGATTCACTTGTAATTGATTTACTTAAGTGTAGTTAGGATCATCTGGGCCATGGAAATCAAGTTGTCCATCAATGTCTTGAACAGCACAAATGTTGATGTTGAATTGCTTTTTCACTTCCTACACTATACATGCGATGAGATTTATGAGTAGTCCATGGCCAATATTCCTAATTTCCCAACTCTGCAACATAGTCTGCAGTCTACACCATGGATCCCCCCACATAAACAGTTTTATTCAAGTTGTTCACTCATTCACTGCCTTTCACCACTGTACTTAGGGCAAATATCTAAAGGGTTTTCTTTAAATATTTTGCCTTTGCCTCTAGTAATCAACAATGATTATCTTTTCTTGGAGAGATGAGAACCCAGTAATCAACAATGATGATTACTGCCTTTGCCTTTGCCTTTGCCTCATTCACTGCCTTTGCCTCTAGTAATCAACATTGATGATGATCTTTACATGGGACATAAGCAAAATAGAAAAAAGGACTTTAAGTTGAATTAAATTATCTTGCATAGATGATATTGAATTGGTGGAGCCAATTGAATTTCTGATCTGATTATTAAATGGGCACCCACTTAGATTTGGTTATTTATAGATTTTATTTGCATTAAACATGTATTAAGTAAGAAATTAGATTTTCCTATCAATTACTTTATGACATCCAGTCAATTGTTGGGAAGAATGCTCCTTTGGTTAACTTAAAGCCCATTTAATAAAACCCAACACTTCTCTATTTAAATGCACATTTTGTTTACCAACCCATCATAAATTCATTCAAAAAATTGCAACAATTACAGAATTGGAGATCTTTGCCTCCTAATGGGCCACAGCATTTTCATGCTTTGTCTTGGGGTTGCTCATTTTGAGGTGCTGATGACGCTAACCAATACAAAGATCTGCTATAACAACCTGTCAAAATAAAATAGAAAGAGTTCCCCTTTTTTGGAATAAGAACTAAGAACATTTTGGCATGCCTGAGCTTCATCATTTTCATACAAGCAACTACTAGTTACTATGAGTCTTTCTTTTTCTGCTTTGAAGTAGTTGTATAGGTACAGTACAGTAGAGAGAGAGAGAGAGAGAAAGAGAAATTGATGAATGTGAAAAGGAATTATACATCAAATCAGGGCCCTCGAGAGCTAGTGCAGATTTCAGTAGTAGTATTTAAAAATAGGAGGATGAGGGGAAGTGAGCTAATTTATAGACAAAGCTGGAGTCATCAGGGCTGTTTGTTTGTTACAAGAAGAGAACCACCAACCCTCTTCAGAAATTATTGTATTTTGTTGGAGGGGCCCCTAGAGATTACCCAATCAAGTAAGCAGGTTTCTTCTTGATGCTGAACCATATGAGCTAGGTTTCTCCTAGGCAAGACATGAAGGGAAGAACAGTTCACATACCTTCAAAACTCAAGGAGAGGTTTAGAAATGATACTTAGATGAGATTGAGCCAAATGATAAAATTTGAATGACATTGTATCAAATTATTAAATTATTTTGTTATTTTTCTTTAATGTGAATGTCGATCTACTTCTTCACTGCTACCATTAAGTTTTTCACACTATCTGCTAGGTTTTCAGTTGTCCTATTGGAACTACTACCTTGTTATAAGCTTGACTTACTGATTGGCACCTTGCCAACCTAGGTGCAAGTGGGTTCGATCCCAAGTCTCCGCTATGACCAGTAGGAGACCTTACTGATGTAACGCTTTCTGGTCACGTATCATTTTTTTGGCTAAGTACCTCGTCATCTTGTATGCTCCCAAGTGGCCGGTGACTCAGAGACTGAAGTAGATCTCTCTAGTGTAGTGCAACCCGGCTGCTCCCTACAGGAGATGATCTGCTCATCTTTGTTGACGACGGGAATTGAGGAACCTACAAGAACTGAATCAGAGAAGCCGGGGTGTAGACGGCGGGAACTGAGGAACCCATCCTCCCTACAGGAGATGATCTGCTCATCTTTGTAGACGGCGGGAATTGAGGAACCTGCAAGAACTGAATCAGAGAACCCGGGGGGGTTTACCCGGCGAGGTCACTCCGATGGCTAAGTCAACGCTTAGTTGTGAGCTGAAAATGATATTAGAGAATGGGAGAGCTGGAGGGCAGAGATTACCATCTCATCTCCTCTCGCCCCTGGAGGGTGAGGCCTTTATATACTAGTCCTCGTGGGTTTGGTGGAGCAGTTCCTGGATTCCCGCTGTGATGGGATCTGTTTCCGTGTTAGGTGGGGATAATGCCACTAACCGGTAAGGTTGCTCATCTCCGCCTGAATCGGGGA